GGGCGGGGGCCCGGGAAGGCGGCCGGTGGCCGGGCTCTGGCAGCAGCAGGCGCGGTGGGCTCAGCCTGCTCGTGGAGCAGGGTCCTGCCTCTGGCGTACAGCCTCTGGTGTGGGAGTGCTGCCGGTTCTCCCTCTCGCCGCCCCCACGTGGTGCCACCTTCTCCTCTTGCTTCTCTCTTCCTTTGTAGCCTCCTCTGGTCCAAGCCATCTTCAACCGCGATGTAGAGGAGGTGCGGTTGCTGCTGAATCAGAAGGAGAACATTAACGTACTGGTGAGTGCTGCCCGGCTGTGCTCGCTCCCCGTCCTTCACCCAGCGCTCCCCGTTCCCTTCCCTGCAGCGCGGTTCTGTAGCAGAGGGGGGGCAGAGGCTCGGCGGGGGAGATGGGGGTGTTGTCAAGGGGGGGCTCTTTTTGGTGAGGATGGTCACAGCTGGGGTTTTGAAACAGAGGTTGCTGGATTCTCCTCCCAGCTTAGCCACCATTTGCTGGGCAGCTTTGTCCTCTTGCCTCGATCTTGCCATCTGTAAAATGGGTCGTGTGGACAGCCGGGGCTCCCGCCCCTCCGGGAGATGCTGAGAGCTGCTGAAGCGCTCGGCCGTGCAGGGCATCACTGTGGGTCCTGTGGGAGGACTGGCACAGAGGCTTGGCTTCGCTGCCGTGCTACTTTACCTCTTGCTCCTTTGGGGTGGTGACCCAGAGTAGTTTGGTGTGAGCGCCGTGGGTTTGGCTTCAGGTGAGTTTGTTCCCCAGCGCAAGGAGGATTTCAGCCCCTTGGCAAAGCCGCGTTCGCCTCGCAGGTGTTAGGAGAGGTTTCCACTGCGCTCGTCTTCAGGCTGGTGGCAGAGGGTGGTTTTGATGCTTTACTTTACCTCTTGCTCCTTTGGGGTGGTGACCCAGAGTAGTTTGGTGTGAGCGCCGTGGGTTTGGCTTCAGGTGAGTTTGTTCCCCAGCGCAAGGAGGATTTCAGCCCCTTGGCAAAGCCGCGTTCGCCTCGCAGGTGTTAGGAGAGGTTTCCACTGCGCTCGTCTTCAGGCTGGTGGCAGAGGGTGGTTTTGATGCTTGCTGCAGAGCGGAGAGGCTGGGAGAGGCGGCCGCCGGCCC